TAACTTTGGGGAATGATAAATATTTTCATTACAAGGCACTGTATTGGGGGTGAACACACACTTACAAACACAAACTGTGCACTTCAAGCTTCTAAGGTTTATCTTATACCAAGCATACCTCAAAACACACCCAGTGTTTTATCATTTATTTAGTGTGAAATATTATAAATATTATATTTTAATGATAAATTCTATTTCCCATAATGCCTTTTGAAAATATGAAACTGGAAATCAAGCTAAGCTATTAATGGAGAATGTTCACAGAATACAAGTTGGAAGAACATGAGAATAATTCTAGTTAAAATACTGGAGCGGAACTTCCCATCACACTGTAATTCTATTAAATAATGATTATTTTGAACAAGAGCAAAACATCAGCAAGTAAGTGAACAAAATGAAATGAGCAGAAACTTTAGAGTGATGGTTAGAATACCAGGAAACAAGAGTGAAGAACATTCAGCAGATCCCAATGCCTGTTTCCACATAGGAACTTAAGAGAACAGGAAAAATGGCCAGAATTATTCATGTATTTGTTTGAAAAATAAAAGGTGCAAATAAGAAAAACAAAACACATCAGAAATTTGAACCATCCATTCAAATTTCCCACCCACTCAGCTTTATGTAGAAACTGTATTTTGCTTTTGTTTCATGCGTCCATGAGAAAACTCAATTCAGAACAAATTGAAAAAGAACAGAAAGACACATTATAAAGTGGCATAACAGGATTTGAACTGAACCCATATTAAAATTACTTGACTCATCTTTGAGGGAAATTAAAGTCACATTGTTGAAAGTTTTCTCAACATGCTTCAATATTTCCTTAAAATGAGGCTCACCTGCAGAACTGTGCAGTATTTGGAAGTACATTTTCCCTCTGTGGCAGCTATCACATTAGTGTACTGACAGGGACAATTAGAGCTGACTTCTGAGCAAGGCCATTGCCAGCACTTCCATGGGAATCTGAGGGATCCCAGACCAGAAATCTTATTTTATTTTTTATTGATTGTTTGTAGTTTTTTTCTTAAGAATCTTAATTTATCTTGTAATGAAAACAGAAGCCTGTTGAGAGTAGGGGTGGCTGTGAGGAGGGTGTCCCCCACAATCTGGCTGCTGTCTCCTCCTCAGCCCAATGGAGACTGGCTGAGCGCCATTCTGCACTGTCCACCTGGGAGCCTGCCAGGTCTCCACAGGCACAGCCAGCTTGCACTCAATCTTTGTAGTTTTTATACAGTATAGTTTGATGGTATTTAGATCCCCTCCCCTATCAAGCAACAAATTTTTCCAACTTCCTTAGCAAATCTTGACAATGATTTTTCCAGAAGAAACACTGAAGAAACCCATAAATAAATTTTGACATGAAAAGTAGATTTCATAATGAAGAAAAGGTGAATTTTGAAAACACTTCTTTTTAATGTAGTTATTGAGCAACAGATGCTTACTAACAACATTCTTGCAATATTTCTTTAAACAGTCACAATTGCAAAGACCAAGTTCACTCCCATGTTTGGGCTGAGGAAACGGATGACCAGAGACTAAGAACATTACAGCTGTTGTGTGACGCCCTGGCATAGGATAGGATTGAGAAATAGTAAATGTGCATGTGTTTGTGGGTATGTGTATACACTGAAGAAACCCATAAATAAATTAATTTTGACATGAAAAGTAGATTTCATAATGAAGAAAAGGTGAATTTTGAAAACACTTCTTTTTAATGTAGTTATTGAGCAACAGATGCTTACTAACAACATTCTTGCAATATTTCTTTAAACAGTCACAATTGCAAAGACCAAGTTCACTCCCATGTTTGGGCTGAGGAAACGGATGACCAGAGACTAAGAACATTACAGCTGTTGTGTGACGCCCTGGCATAGGATAGGATTGAGAAATAGTAAATGTGCATGTGTTTGTGGGTATGTGTATGGGGGCGAGGGGAAGTTTGGACACTACATCTAATTCCCAGGTTAGAAGTTGGAGCAGGGAGAATGGGAGAATACTTGGCCTCCCTTAGTGATAGTTACTGCAACCATCAAGCGAAGGCATCTCACAGATCACTGAGGAGATTTAGCACCATCCTGCAACTCAGGGGACAAGAAGCGTGTCTTTGTAAAGGTGAAAATATGCACATTCAAGTCCTTTTGATCAGACTTAAGACACCTCTCCGGCTGCTTTGTGCTCATTTTAGAATGTTTCTCTCGACTTCTGAGTAAATGAAAACTAAAACTGTTTATGAGACATTCATTCTTTTCCAGACTAGTAAAAGGAAAAGTATTATAGGTTTCTTATTCAAAATATTTGATACAGAAGTCAGTAGCAGGCCCTAATTTGTTATTGTTCCTCTGATGTGATCAATCCCAGCAATAGTATCCTGATGTCCATGTCTGAAACCTCTAAGGAAAGTCTGATCTAGCAATAAGCTTCCCAGGATTCTGTCAGGCTACATCAATGGATTCAGTCTTTGTCACCTACAAGCTAAGTAAATAATAATCATTTTTATGCAAATCTGTTTTGAACTTTTAATTTCTAAATGCATCTAGTGACTGACATTTGATTGAAATTTAAAAAAAAAGAAAATACAAACTAGATTAACAGATCAATAGTTAAATAAAGTGCCTGAAAATAATACACCAACTAAGTCTTTCAAAGGTTTATAAGCACGTCAAATTGTGTTTCCTTCAGGCTAAAGCTTGGCATTCATATTTGATGGTGGAGATGTAAATTGCTCTTCCAAAGGGTTGTTTGTATTGGTTAAGCTTCTGCTTACATGCAAAGCAGTGCGGGAAAAGGAAATAGTTTCTCAGGCTTCTCAAGATTGTTTAACCTATTGTTAAAAATATGGCTTATAGTTTATTGCTAAAATAAAGGAACATAAAAAATGTTAGGCCATAGTTTTAAATTTAGCAAGTATCTCAAATTCTTGCAGAATAATTACTTCTACAACTATAATATATTATTAACAATTATGTCCCTTTCCACTCAAGCTGAAAAATTCTTCAAATGGTCAAGGTCCCAAAAGTGTACAGCTGAAACCACACCATGGCAACTTTTTTTATCATAAACAAACTAGTATCATTTTTATTCCATGAGGCAAGAAGATACAGTAATACTTTTTCCTCAATTTCAGTTTTGCTGGTATGTTTTTGAAAAAAAAATTCTGAATAATCTGCAAACCCTGTTTACATCAGATATCATCCATTTCTAGAGATAATTTCTATATCTTTGCAAAGGTACTGGAATAATTTTCTAGATCCTAAGAAAGTTGGTTCCTTAGTAGTGCTTAAAGTTGATTTTTCTAAGAAACCAATGCATTTTTAAGCATAATTTAAACTTAATCAGCTAGTCTGCTGAAATAACAAGTTGATCTAATAACACTTTGAATATGAATAATTGAAATCTTCATGTTGATGATCTTCCTCTACCTACTTCCTAGAAAACACAGGGGGAATAGATTGGATACAAAGAAATTATCTCTCACATAAAATCTCTGTGTCATCATGACTTCTCTGTGTAATAGATGGAGAGAGCTGATAATGTAGGAGTTTGGGGAAATGATGTACAGGCCCAAAAAGAGTCTAAAAATTTAGATATTGAAAAAAATGAATTCTTTCTCAGAAGCTTTCTCAGAAGTTCTTATTCTGTTTCTTGTAAAGAAAGTCTATAGAGAAGCAGATCAATTAATCACAATATTAAGCATTTTCTGTGTGTTATGAAGATGTAAATGCAATATTTCTTTGGGGAGTTTTCAGAGCAACATAGGAGGGGGACATTTAAGCTTTTTTTTTTTAATCTTATTTTGAATTTCAGATTAGGAGAGGAAACCACGTAATGAAAGCTATAGTCCACCAATTAAATGATCCTAAAGGAAACAGTCTCTCTCTCTCTCTCTCTCTCTCTCTCTCTCTCTCTCTCTCTCCCTGGTTTTCAGGACAACAACTAACTCTAAGGGATCACATTGATAAATATACTAGATATACTTCAGAATAACAAGTTTTATCTGTGGCAAGCATGCCCAACGGCTGGAATGCATGAAGAACTTACTACCTGTACTGTTCTGTCACAATCTCTCTAAATATTAGCCTCTAAATTTCATGGAGAAATCAGTTACACATTGATACAAATCACTTCCCAGATAATGGTAGATGACTCTAAGAGATGGACACTTAGCAGGTTATGTGTTTGATTTGCCAACAAAGATTCTCTTTCATCATATCAGTGATTGAGTTCTCATTTAAAAATCTGTGATTTTTTCCCCATTAAGCTTCTGTTATTTTTCTATATGAAAATATGCCCATCCTAAATAGAATACGGAAAAAGTGAAAACAGAGATGACTACTTTTCATTTGGTTTCTTTGGTTAGCTTTGAGATTCTTCATCTACAATTCCAGACTTTTGATCCTAAAAGTAAGTAAACGTGAATATTTTTTCAGGTGTTTATTTTTCTGGGATTCTGTACAGTAACTTTAAAAGTAAAGCTTAGCATACATAAGCTACATCCTACATTGATTATTTGATCCCATGTGCTTTAGATAATTTGAGACTTGGAGCTCTCCACTAATGTCCCAGTGTCTGTATCTGAGATGTGCATTCACAGTAAAGTGAGGGAAATTCATCCACAATCTTAAGACAACTTGATTGTCTTTTAATGAAAATACATGGTCTTCACTTCTATCCTCTTACCACTTTGTAGGGGGTGGGTGCGTCCACTAGTTGTAATTAATTTAGGAGACTACTATTGTGTTCATTGATGTTTTTTTTCTTTTGATATATTCCTTTGGGGTATTCAAATAGCTGCATTACATTAAACCAAAAAGGAATGCAAGGTTGTATGTCACAATTATTTCCCAGGCTTGAGACTGAAATTCGTAAGTTGTTTTGACTGGACAGCTAATAACAATTTACATAATTTGCTCAAATTTAAAGACATGAGATGCAAAGTCATGGCTGTAACCCAGCACATTCTTCTTGTCAAAACCATTTAAATCACCATCTTACACACGTACATATTGAAACTCAAATTTAAGTGTTTTATTTTTATGTACATTTCTTTTTGTCCAGAAATAAAATATCTAAATACAGACAGTGTAATGTTGAATATGTATAGCTTTTAACAATACTTGAGCTGAATAGATGCTTTGTACATTAAGTTTGTCTTTTAATGGAGTTCACAGCTACATTGATAAAATGGATTCCTCAGATTCCTTTTTTCTTTTTTAACCAATAACAAGCAGAGAGACGAGTACAATTTAATATTAATAAGCAGCTCAAATGACACTTGGTTAAACTATGTACAATACAAACCATTCATACAAATGAAGACTAAGATATTGAATTTGTTACAATATGTGTAGTAAAGATAAGACAGACACATAACTTACATGGTGTCTGCCAGGCATTTCCCTTCTTATATAATGATCAGAACTTGTGTTAAGCAGTCTTAGTTGTTCTCATAGCAAAGGTCCAGTGATTGGCGATGAAAGGTGTAATCCTGGTGTCTGCCACATGTAAATTCCAAGTGTTTGCTCATCTATACTGAGAATGGACTCCTCCCTCCATAGAAAGAAGAACCGTCCTGTATCACCTTGAATGTGCCTACTGTATGCTGGGAAAAAGTTACTACACTTTGTTGTGTTCATAAAATAAAGAATACTGAGCTCTAAAGACACATTTTTCCATTTAACAAGCATATAACTCCTACGGTAGTATTCACCAGCACAGCTACTCCAAGCAGTAGGAATGCATGAGTGGGGATTATTCATTAGCATGGACTCAAAACTTTAAAAGAGATTTCCATAACAGCGAGTGTTAGACACATCTTCTGTCTAGGTAATCCTTTTTTTTGATCACAGTTTATCCTGAACCATCAAAAGTCAGACAGTGAAAGTGCTCTCAACGGGAACCTTGATAGATGCAAGCTGAAATGTGCAAGAGTGGGTGTGCTCGTGTGCCTCTGTGAGAGCATGTCTTCAGGTGACTTTACGATCTATGGTGATTTACAACTATGCTGAGAGATGAAGCTGACTGGGCAAAAATTATATGGATTGTTTTCCACTAATATGTTTGCACCAGTCGACAAGAGCAGTGGTGTAGACACATTCCAGGCAACAGATGTGACCTTCTTCCTTAAGGTAACAGCCCTGTCCTTTGACCTTGAATTCCTCAGGCTTCAGTCTCAAGCCTTATTCATCCTCATCCCGAGGGGAAGTAAGGTGTGTCACTGTGGTAGTTGTAGTCAGGGCACACTTTCTGTACTAGTTTGTAGTCTGTACTATAAAAGGAAATGTAAATGCAGATCACCTTGAAGGGCTTGGAGCAGAGCCAGGACACATGACTTTGGGTCTGCTCCTGGTAACAGGTTTTTGAAGGGTCATAGTTGCAGAGTGTGTTCTTGGTAGCTTTGTCAACCTTTTCATATTCAATGCGACAGTTGAAAGACTTGGAATCTTTGGCATCAATCACAGTTTGTTGTGCCAAGTCAAATTCCACGATTTTTGTTGGGGGCACCAAGCTGACAGATACATTCCCTTGACCAGTGGAATTATGCCTGAAATATACACTAAACGTTCCATTGCCATGATCTACAATTTTCCCAGTTATCAACAGATTTAGCTTCACTGTTTTGATGTTGGAATGAAAATCACCCCATCCAAACATTTTCTTAAACTTGCCCGTCTTAACAATGGGCCGCCTCTTGGCCCTGGGCCGAGGCTCCTGAAGGTCTGTGGAGTTCCTCAGCCAGTCCCAGAGGTCTTGCTCAGAATAAGGTTCTGGGGTGTCATAGCGCAGGTCCAAATCTGTGTCATTTTCTTTGCCACGGAAAGTCTGTGACAGGAGCCGGCTGATAGACAAATCTTTGCTGCTTTCTGTCCATATGTGCTTAAGTGTGGATTTGCTGCTTCCGGACTTCAGAAGTTCTGACTTTCCACCATTTGTTAAATTGGCACACGTGACCTGAGAAGAAAATTTAAAAAATGGTGTTTACATCTCCACATCTAAGAAGACACAACACACACACACACACATGCACACACACACACACACACACACACACACTCTCTCTCCAGCCCTTGCTGGGAGGCTTAGAATTAAATGACAAAATTGTTTTGTTGGTTTTATTCTTAAAACCACCTTCACCCTTGCTGGGAGGCTCAGAATTAAATGACAAAATTGTTTTGTTGGTTTTATTCTTAAAACCACCTTCAGTATCTGGCCAATATTTATTAAGATGTGATAAAATACCACTTCTATTTTTATTCAACAATGGGAAAGGGGAGGTGTGGGTAGATTAAAACCACCAAGCATGACCTGAAGATCCATATAAAACATCGACTAAGGGAGGAAAAGGCCACCTAGCATGAGTAAGCCAAATTGAATTCAAATATAAACCAAGCTAAAGTAAATTATGTCTCAGCACCAAAATGCACTTTTGAAATAAACTTTTATAAATCATTATTTTTTTTCTGCTTCAGAATCGCCATAAGCTCTAAAGCTGTATAATTTTCAGAAGTATGGCAGCTGATACCCCATGGACTCTTAGATACTTTATGTCATAATTATATTAGAAATAAAAAGCCATTTAAAACAGAATGCAGTATATGTTAGCCAGTCAACACAAAGTAATCTGTTTATTATCATCAATCATTAGAACAAGGCATAATATATGTCTTTTTTTATTTTCCAGAGCTTAAAATGTGGTCTAAGAAAAGAGATATAATTACTACATCCAATATTCACTACCATGTAGGTATTTGACAATCTGCAGAAACACACACAGTCAGCAGGTCACTGAGACTGTGAGGGTCAAATAGGGAAAAGTTTTCCAAAATCCCAGTCTTGCTTCTTTGGAACAGTTTCCCCCAACAAACCCAGGGATTCAAAGGAACCAGTATTACAAGGGCTTCACTGGCCTAAAGTTAAAGCAGTGATTGCATCCTGAATTGGGGACTCCGGACAGGGTGAATACAACCCAGGACCCAGAGGAGCCAACAGCCAATGCAGGCAAGCCATTGACCTTGTAGACTGACTCCTCTGGGGCAAGGTTGTTAAAGTGATCCCTCCAAGATGCCCATTGAAAATCCAAATTTCACAATTTACCCCTCTAGCCAGGCCCCTGGTGAACCAGTCCTCAGAACCCAGAGTGGTTTCTCTGATGAGTCTGATTGCCACACAGAAGCCTCTCAAGTCTCCATCCAAACAATTCTCAAAGTAAAAGATCATTCTCAAAGAGCTTTATTAAGTGAAGCCCACTAGGAATTAGAGCAGTGTTCTTAAAGCTCCCTCCATAGACATCTATACAGGCCTCTTGTTATGCAGCAAACCTATACCAAAAATATCCATGGAAAGGGTCTATCCAATTTCCAGAGGCACAATAACATAAATTTAAGGGCCTGACTCACTAGGATTTTATTCTAGCTATCACTTCCCTAGTCAACCTATTTAACCTCTTTCTCTGCCTCAATTTTCTACCTCTGTAAACTGAAATTGATAATGGCATCTTATTTATAATGTTGCCAGAGGACTGAATGAGGTAAATCCCATGCATCATTGAGAATAGTCGTTGGCACATCAAAAGGTCACAATAAAATTTGCTATTGTTACAGAATCTAAGCTGATGTTTGAAGACCACTAGAGAAAGAAGACCACCAATTAGTCCTTCATGATGTTGCCTAAGAGTAGCTTTGCCCTGAATGATGCAGCTAATTCTTGGAACCAGGCTGGAATGAGTTCCCCCAGAGACATGGATGAAAGGCTTTGACTATCTAAGATAGAACAAAATTCTTTATCTTTTCCATCTTGTCTTTTCACAAACACAATGGGATAAGTCAGCTTTCCCTACAAATCAGAATTATTTCCATTCCTGCCCAATTCAAACCGAGACAATGTGATTTGTGTGGGACCATTCTCATATGTGGAAGAATACCAATCACAGTTGACCTATTGGCCAAACTGCTGACCTTAAGAAATGCTGCATGTCAATCTTTGTATAAATTCACTGCATCAAAGATAACATACAGTTTTTTATCATGGGTTTATGTCCCATGACTTCACCCTACAGAGCCACACTTAGAACACTAACAGGAAACTCTAACACGCCATTTCAAGCTAATAGCCTGTGTCCTGCTGTACTGTTACCATGTCCCAGGCAATAGCTATGCCACCCTGGAAAGAGGCAGAGGTCATGATATGCAGATGTTACTGAAGGACACACAAATACCAATGAAGAATTATATCATAGTGATAGGATGAGTCTTAGAAAGAATGGACAGATTACCATGTGTAAAGAGTCACAAAGCAACACAGCCAGCCCCATGTTCACTGTCACTCTTCAAACTTTTAATTGTATCACAAACCAAAATGAAGCACCAGCCTGGTGTAGTGGGTGATGGCTCAGATGGCTCACTTCAGGTCTCAGAGGGAATACTGGGACTTGGGAAGGTTATCTTTGCTACATATTTTCTTTCCGTCCTGTGCATTCTCCCTTCACTTCTGCTTGGCCCTTGGAATAGTTTCTCTCCTCTTACTTCTGCACCCAAACTGTTTCCTGTCTATAATTTCTCATTACACCAAACATTATTCCAGAACAGATTATATTTAAGCAGTGGACTTGACCAATAAAAGCACAAATATCTGTTTTTAGCAAAGTAATGCTTTTAACAAGGACTAAAATTTATGATCTGAAGGACTGAAATTAAAGGGGGCTGGAGAGATGGCTCAGCAGTTAAGAACACTGGTTGTTCTTACAGAAGACCTGGATTCAAATCCAAGCACCCACATGGTAGCTAACAACTGTCTGTAACTCCAGTTCCAGGGTATCCAACAGCCTCTTCTGTCCTCTACAGGCAGTGCACGACATAGGTGCACTTACCCACATGCAGGCATAACACTCATACACATAAAAATAATAGATAAAATATTTTTTAAAGCAGAATATTCTTTGAAAGAGAAGGATTATGCATAGGTATGTATATAGGAAAAAATGAACTTAATTTTCCACCTATCCTTTTTGCCTGATGATAACTTCATCTGCTATGGGATGATTTTCATTACCATATATGCTTCTTAAAGATGGAAGAATAAACCTCTGATTTTTTTCAGGTGGACTATCAATTGCTTAGTTTAAAATTATGCTCTGCACAGCTGAAGTGATTACAAATATGGACTCTGGAGTCAGACTGACTGAATCTTAGACTAGGCTTTGATCCTTAACAGCTGTGTTATGTGCACAACGTACTTAACTTACTTAAACTTCTGTTTTCCCCTCTAGAGACTGGGAGGATAATATCCACATTCCTCACTGGCCCATTGAAGAATTAAATAAGATACTCTACCCCCAGTACCAAGCACAGTCCCTGAAACACGATGAGTGTTCAGTATTAATGGCATCAAATTATGGAAACGAATGGCTATGAATAACTTGCAATAGTATTTGAGATTAGACATACTTGTGTAGGAAAATGTCTCTTTAGCATGATCATAAATATAAAGCAGATAACTTACTAGGAGCAGAAGGAAATAGGGAAGACACGTGTCTAAAGATTCAGCTGAAAAATAATGAAATAAATAATGGAAATGAGCTGTACCACCTCACACCTATAGCAATCAAAAGAATATTATCCACTCACAGACCTGTTAAGAGAGCAGACCTGAGAGTAAACAATTATACCAAAATAAAATACTTTAAATTACATTTTAGTAAAATAAACCTCTAATAAAATGGACTCTAATACAATGTGTGCTGAAATTATTTTAATTTTTTATTTTTTAAATTATTTAATAACCATATAATTAGAAGAGGCATGTCATTACAACAGCATTGACATATTCAATAACAATTTCCATAGCTAAGATGCTTCTCTTTCAAAATTGGCTGTAAATTTTTAGGTTTACAGTTGAATTAATATAGTTATACAATATCATACTCCATATAAACCCTATAAGACATAAAATTAAGTGAGATTTTTAAACTTTGAAAAAGATATCCCTTTCATTATTAAAATACACAGTTTCATACAGAAAAATTCATTTTTAATACAATTGCCACTAAGGTGAATATGTGTTTCTAATCTCTATATGTCTGATTATTACTAGTCACAGTTGGTTACTTTCTGAGCTCCTTGGCATCTGAGCATGGATATAAAGTCATCAGGTAGATTTCAATGGTAATGTTTTTCACATCCACCAATTATTAAGGAACAAATTTTTATGCTTTGGAGAATTTTTTTTATACACCCACTTCCCAGGAAACACCCTCCCATAACCTCCCTCCCCCAACTAGAGCCCTTATACTCTGATATCCCTGCTACTGTCTGCTGTGTTGTTGGTACCCCCAGCCATTCCCCACTACTTGCCCTTCTGGTGAATCTAGTCAGCCTATCTAGAGGTCCTTTCTTAGGAGGGTCAGCTCTTCCTCATCCAGCAGAAATCAGTTGTTAATATTCCTTTGGATAAGATTGGGGTCTGCTGTTCAATTTCCCAATTCTATGCTGGGTTACTATCTGGGAATCCCTTTGGCCACCCTGGCCAACAACTCAAAAGAAGGTATCACCTGTAGGAGCTCAAGAGAGGTAGGACCATAGGAGACGGGTATTATTAAGGGAGAAAGGGGGGAAATGGGGGCACCTTGAGTGGGAAAACATGATGGAGGAGTGAGACAATGTAAGAGATAAACAATGCCTAGCTAGTTTTGAAAACCAGAGAGAACCATATTACTCCTACAACCTACT